CCCAACCACTACCTAAAACTGTAAAGAAATACTGCGTACAGTGTGATCTCCATTCTTTAAAACATTTAAGAATCTATTTCAGTTGTACAAGGGCTGTTTTACATAGGGCCGCTATGAGTCGGAAGCGACTCAACGACACATAACATTTCAGTTGTGAAATTCACCTAAGGAGGGGAGGGAGGAGCTTCTGTTCAAAAAGAAGTTATTTCTTTTTTGCTTAACTTTTGACAAGAATGAGCAAAATAGAAGAGGAAATAAATTGCTTTCCAACTGGCAGAAACTGCTTAGCAGAATAGGCCATGTAAATATTCGTGTTTTAAAGAAAGGTATCTGTGAAAATAGAACTAAATGTGAGCATTTAATAAAACACCCAGATCGCTGAAGTACCTCCGATTTTTACTGTGCTTACAAATCTTCAAGCTTTGGTACATCTCCATCCATACAAGTCAAAATGTGAATGAATATTCTGTTTCATCAGAGAGGCTCAGGGGGAGGTGGCAACAATATAATGAGCTATTTCTGAGTGATTTTTAAAACTTTAAAAAAATTCTGGGTGATTTTGTGAGTTCTAAAAACGACACTGCCATGATCTTAACAGTTTGACAATAAAAATTCACATTTAATAAAATGGGTAGGAGAATTCTTTCTAAAGGAATTGTATGGGGATTAGGAAAGAACTTTTATCAGAAGAGAAAACATTACTTTACATTTCTGTGGCTTAGTGGGAAGAAGCTGTGTTGCAATTTCAAGGTACGTGGTTTGAATCCCCAAGCTGCTCCTCTGGAGAAGGACTGGCTGTCTCCTCGTGTGAAATTTACTGCCTTGAAAACCCACTGGAGGGTCAGCTATGGATTGGTTCTGACTCGAATGCACAATAACAATAAGAAGAATAAATGCTACCAAAGTGTGCTTCCCAAGTTTTATATAATTTGAGGTCATATATATGTAATGATTCCTAGTTAATCTTTAATTCTGCATTTAATTTCTAGCCGGCACTGTTCTTCACTCCATCACTTTGTGTTCCCACAAATATATTAAGTTAATTCCTACTGGAACTTTCAGATGTCACCCACTAAGTTATTTCCTCTGAAGTGCCTTCCCTTAGCCATTAAGCAGTATTGAAATGACTCTACTAATCCTTTAGGTTTATACTTCTTCACTTATACAGATATACACTTATACATGCACACACATATATACAGGGATATATGGATTTATGCCTATTGTACAAACACTTGGCTAATCTAGGTCTCTTCGGTAGACTACACCGTCAGTTCCACAATGGCAAGGACTGCGACATTATTCACGAAGCATTGCCTAGGACCCACCACGATGCAAGCTCTTAGATATTAAAATGTGTGATTGAAAGGAAAGCAACTTGGCAATATATATAAAGAGCTTTAAAGAGCAAAGGATTAAATGATATATGGAGGGAGATTTACTGTGGAATTTTATCAGAGTGGACAATTAACATTTGTATAAAAGCATCAATAATTCATGCTTTGGCCTTAAATTGAAATACTCCATATTTGCTAACACACACTAATTATACAAGAGCCTATTTTTAAAAAAATTTTTTTTTATTATTTTGTGTATGTGTGTGCGTGTGTGTGTGTGCGCGCGCACGCGCACTCGCCGTCAAATCGGATCTGACTGGTACAGGAGGGAACTGTCCCTCCTTCTCCATCAGAGGAGCTGGTGGATTCAAACTGCATACCTCTGGGATTGTAGTGCAGCTTCTTGCCACTAGGCCACCAGAGCGCCCCACAAGAGCCTATTGCTCAAGAAGACAAATTGTCTACACTGCAAAAACATTCAAAATTCCAATAATGCACAAAGCATGTTATGCAAGCATGAAGGCATTTGTCTGATGGCATAGTGATGTGGTGCACAGTCTTCACTAGATCATGTGTCTCAGCACAAGAGCATTCAAGCCTTTGCCTAAGGACTCACCTATCAAATCCCATTGCTCTCTACAACCATCCTGACAAACAGGGGCTCCCAAATTAATGTGCACATAAATAAATATGGACCTGCATATGTACAGAACATCTTTGGAAGAACACACATTAAATTGATAATTATTTGCTTAACTCTGCGGAAGGGAACTGCTAGAAGAAAAATTACCCAATATAACTTTGATACCTCTGTGTGTTGAGCCATGTGACTATATTAATTATTAAAATGTTATTAAAAAATTAACCGTTCATTATAAAAAAACAACAAAAAAAAGTTCACGTATTTGGGTTAAAGTTTTTCCAACAGATTGTATTAATTCAGGCATCTACCTTAGAAATTTTCATAATAGTTAAAAGTAATAAACAACCTGTGAATGCCCACAATTAGTAGTGATAGATTTACTTAAAATGAGATTTCTGGAAATTTAGTGACATGGGAAAATGCTCATCATATAACAATAAGTTTGGTTAAACAAAGAAAAGATGTCTTAAAAGGGTGTTGTGGTCATTGCTGTTATGTGCTGTCGAGTCGTTTGCGACTCATAGCGACCCTATATACAACAGCCCTAAACCCTGCTCTATCCTGTGCCAATCTCACTGCCTCCGACACACCCAACCCGAATACCCCAGTCACTGAATGAATCCACCTCATAGAGGGTCTTCCCCTTTTGCGCCATCCCTCCACCCTCCCAAGCATGATGTCCCTCTCCAAGGACCTCTCCCTCCTTACAACATGCCCAAAGTATGTCAGATGAAGCCTCAGAATCCTTGTTTCCAAAGAGCAGCCTGGTTTAACCCTCTCTAGGATGAATCTGTTTGTTTTCTTGGCAGTCCAGGGTACATTCAATACTCTTCTCCAGCACCACAGCTCAAAGG